TTTATATGCCTTATAAAACTACAGAATTGTCACGTTTTGGATATTTTTGTATTAAATTGTGGGTTTTAATAAAAAATCTTGAGATTATTAGAAAAGCTGGAGATTTTAGGCTAGTGGCGGGAGAGCTGTAGGTTAGGGCGAAAAGCGGGAGTCTCATGCGGGAGACTTGGTAGGTATGTAATATATTGGTCTACCACAAGACTACCATACAGATCAATAAACAATAATCCGCGACAAAATACAAATCAAGAGTATTTGTAACGATTGAATATGTAGCATAGATGCATTCATATAAACACAACTTACTATTCTGACCAGACTGACCTCCATTACTGGAATTAGACCCTAGAGGTCTGTGGCTTGATAAACCACAGAGCAAAAGTTGACAGTTTTGGCGGCATTAGTTTGACACAGAAACATCGTTGAAATGAAATTCCTCTAGGCCTATATTAAGAAAACGAAAAGAAAGTGGTGCAGAAAAAAACTAATTGTGCACAGTTACTGTACTTTAAACACAGAAAAACGTACGTGTCGTCAGTATTATGAAGTTTTTTGTTTACGACTGCTGTGTAATTTTACTGGTTTACAACATAGTTATGTCATGTATACTTGAATGTAAAATAAAGTATTCCGTATTCTTAACTCTCTGCAAACTCGAAAATAAATCATTGACCGAGGCACGTTTTATCTACCACCATACAGCGCATGCGTGACATGCATTTTGCAGAGCAGTATTGTGATAACTCTTCTACTTATTACGCATGCGTGTCACTAAGCAGATTTTGAACGAAGAACGAAAGAAAATTTGTTGTCAAACCACGGAGGAGGTATGTCAAACAATGAAGACTATTTTAGTAGATGATAAATGGATAAGTTTGACTTCTAAAACCGCCAACTTTGGTTCTGTGGTTTGACCAGTCAAGTTGTGAAAAAATAAAAATAAAGGACATTTTGTGGTGTAACCCAACACCACCCCAGCCCTACTATGGTTTTGGTTAAGGTGGAGGTTTTTAGGACATGACAGCTTTGGATACCCGAAAATGTTAATCATACTTCAAAATTTGTTATCTCAAATTGACGTCCCGATTTCCGATGTCAAAAACACCAAAAAATAGGTACGTCCCTATTTTTAGAAATTAATAATAAATTATACCCCGGGATTCCCTTGGCCTAGTGTATGAACAGACGGAAATGACGATCGTTTTGCAAGGTGGTTTTCACCTACGATTCAATAGCCTATCAAAACAATATTCGGGCGAAGAAATCAGTCTTGTATGATGTAACGAGTTATTTTTAGCAGCCAATCTCTGTGGAAACACGTGAGTCTTCACGCTGTGAATTAACGATCCGATCAGCCCACTGGGCAGGTCTTTTCAGGGACGGACCGCGGTGTTTGTCTATCTTTACTTTAGCCGCAGTTAGCGAGCTGCTTATTTTTAGCGACAGTAAACAACAAAGTAATTTACAAGAATGGGCTTTGTGTTTTAATTTATGGCGACCAATATCAGTTTTAAGCAATTTTAAGAGTTTCAAGTCGGCAGAATTCGGAGACAATTCCTTTATTTTTTGAGCATTTGTTAAATTTATCGGCCTAGGCAAGGCCTGCTAGGCCGACTTACCCAATCCTCAGACCCTGGGACATCACCCGGGGAAATTCGTGTACGCGAAGTTGGGCGTAAAGTCGGTGTGGGATTCTACCCGGGGAACTATGGTAATATTTTATAGCAGTAGTGACTGAGAAAGTTTTCTCTATTGTTGAAAAAACAAAACCAAGCTTCGAGCTATCATGACAAGAAAAACTTAAAGTGCTTTACTGACACACAAGCTGGAAATGTTGAACAGATTATAAGTGTCATTCGAATAAATATTGACGTTATGACTCTAATGAGATCCAGCGAAACAAGCAACATACCGTGCCCTTTATGGTGAAGTTTGTAAGCCTACTGATTAAAATGTAACTTAAATATTTTTTCTTGGTTGGGAGGTAAATAAACAGTACACTTGAAATTAAGTAACTCTTGTTTTGTTTGAAGCAACTGTACAGGAATTAGGATATAATTGCAATCTTAATTTTTTGTCACCAATGAATAGCGTCCCTATTTTTGATATTCGAGTGTTTGCAGGTATGTAAATATACAGCATTTCATGGACGGACCTGTCTGGGGGTGTCGGTGTACGTAAAAACATTAGAAACCATTACTGGACTACATATCCCTCTAAACTACGTTTACGTACAAAGGAACGTACACACCCGCAGGGTTCTGGTTTTATAATACTATATTATTTGCTAATGGTAAAAAGTCATTAAAAAAGATGTCATTCTGTTGCAATTTGCTGATTTGTAATTTGTAATTATTAGGTTTTCAAAATTTCCTTATGCAGATGCATAAAGCAGGAAGCCTGAAAAAGAACAGAAGATGTATGCATTACTGTTGTAATTGTTATAGTTGGTATTTAGCGGTTCAGTCCACACTTCATCATTTGCTACTAAATCAAGAACTACCATGTTGCTGGCTGAGTTCAAGCCTGAACCAGTCTGCCGTGAGGAGAGAATGCGTTGCCCATTCTTCAAGATGCTTGTTAAAATATTATTATTATTACCGCTAAATGAGCCTGATGTAAACTGGAAGACATAGATGCCTGGATGTCGACAGACAAACTTGCCTGTTTCATTATTGTAGTGATTCCCAAAGTTGGTAATTATAAATGGGTATTTCATAGGACTAATTGGTAGGCGGCCTGGGTCTACATTATATCCAACTGAGAAGGCAGATTTAGGCTGGCTGATTGTGGTAGTAGCTTGTTCACCTTTCTCTCCTCTTTCCCCTTTTGGGCCTGGAGCAGTAGTGACAAAATTGATGCCTGGAATTCCAGGAATCCTTGCAGTAGGAGTACAACAGCCACTACAATCTTGGGTTTCACGTTGAGCAGCTGATTGGATGATGCAAATTATGCTGAGTTGTATGGCAACTGCAAAATACATTTTGAATCTGAAAATTAATAAAATTAATGTTTAGAATTTATTTTAAGATGACTGTTAAGTTTTCATTGGAATAGGGATTTAGTTCTGCATTTTCAATTTTCCCAAGCCCCACATTCTCAATTTATGCAACCCCCTCCCCCACCCCCATGATGAAACTAGCCTACAGTATGCCTATTTTGAACTAAAGGACCCTAAATTTTTGGCTGATTATTTCATTCTTATCAGAATTATCCACAGCATGAGAGCAAGTGTTTCATCCATAGTTATTTCTAGGCATAGAACTTTGATTGAAAGATAACATTTAGTCTAAAAAAAAGGGGAAAGATAATTTAATAATTGTACAGCTCTTAATAATAAGAAAACCAAAGCATTTTTAATTTTAAGAATACTTTGTTGAATGATGCCCACAGTGGAATTAAGTTTTCTTACTTTTTTGTGGATCTACATCTGAAGCTACATTGGAAGAGATTAGTCGGTTTCTTGAAGAGCCGGAGTACAAGAGATGCAACTGCAACTCTTAGAAACATAGTGGAATGATCAATTGATCATTTTTACTATGAAAAAGTATTTGATAGAGTGATTGGAATAAAATTATGGAGGTTGGATACAAGCCAATACAGGATTACAATTAAAGAATAATGGATAGATTTAGTAAATAGTAGAAGAGGATATGGCATGAAAATAGATAAGAGAAAACTAAAGTTATGAGAGTTTGAAAACATTCTGAATGAAGGAAGATGAAATTTATTATGAACACATAGGCCTACAGATTGGACAAGTATAAGAATTCTGTCACAGTACATGAATTAGACCTTAAAAGAACACTAAAAGAATTAGAATTGCCAAAACCAAATTCATAGTTAGTGTATGCTAACAAAGAATGTGTCACACTAAAGGTGAACTGTAATGATGAGGCATAATGGGGTAACAGACAAATAATAGTACACTGCAAAAACAAGTTAAATTATAAAAGTAAAGTCTTTAATAAATAAAATCCCGTATGCATCTTCTCTTCTCAACAACATAACAGTTCTTCCTGACGGTTTATCGTTGCACATATACGGTAACATAACTATTCAACTCTCATGGTATCGGTCAGTAACAGGCACATGCACAGGTACAGACACAGGTGGCACTATAACAAATAAAATCAATT